CTTTTTTCTGTTTTGCTTTTTTTCTCTTAAAAAAAAAAAAGATCTGACTTAGGTTACTTGAGGTGAGACCCATGCTTGCCAGCTCTTTACCTCCTTTGAAAGAGAGAAGCCATATCTTTCTACTATTAAGAACCAACCCACCTGGAACGTAAGTTCCAGGAGGCGCTATGGGGACCATTCCCTAGGCAGATGGTGCTGGGAAGCTGGAAAGTTGAGACAGTTGAACATGCACCCCAAAAAGACAGGTTGGGGACCTTGGAGTAGGAAAAGGCTCAGTTGAGAACAGTTTCCTCCTTATCCAAGGTACTATTTTTTATTCTAAGTCCATTGTAGCTGTGCTGGGAGGGAGACCACATAGTGGGTTCACTGTGTTACCTTGGCAGGGAGTAAACTAGACTGTCAGGGAAGGAGTCAGTTGTAGTCTATTTTCTTAGCAGACTTTCCTATGCATCTGATACGCAAATATGGGCATGATTGGTCTCGTGTTCTGGTAGTTGCTGAAGATTTGCTTTCTACCCAGAGTTCTGAGGAAGTCATTTAAGTCCTGAGTACAACTAAAGCATTCATTTCTCAAATGAGATAATTAAGCTGAGCCTCAACACACACAGAGCAAAACAAACCAAAACTCATCATTTCCAGGATCAGAACTCTGTCTCCCTGGGAGAAGGAGTACCTTTGTGTGCTAGATTTCTGTCCTTTGGGCGGCTCTAAGCTCTGGACCTTCCCCAGTACCTTGTTCTTGTCAGGTAAACAGAATGCCGACCAAACAGTTGAATCCACACAACTGCTAGGCACTGTTCTTTATGGGTAGTGGTTCTCATTTATTACTCACAGCTATTCTGAAGCTTAGGTATTGTGGTTTTAATCTGTGCTATCAGAGTCCAGAGCCCAGAGCCCAGGTTCTTAACCATGACCTCAGACTGCCCGCGCAGTCATTTTCATGCAGATGAGTTGTTTCCTAACATTTCTTTCTCAGTGCTGAGTCCTTTATTCAAGGCAAGTATCGACCAAGCCTAAATACAGATAGAAGCGAAGGCTTCTTATTAAAGGGTGGTGGGGAGGCTGGGGATTTAGCTCAGCGGCATAAGCGCCTGCCTTGCAAGCAGGCAGTCAGAAATTCAATCCCCGGTACCGATAAAAAGGAAAAAGACAAAAAAAAAAAAAAAAAAAAAAAAAAAAGAATGGTGGGGTTGGCAGGCTCTGGACTTGGCCCCTCCCCTTCTAACACCTCCTGGTCCCCATTGTCAGGACCTCTCTAGTACATCTCTATTATGAAATGTAAGCTAGCATCATTTTTCGCAGATCCCATATCTGCTAGTTCACCTACTCACTCAAATTTGTTAGTAACTGCACGTGAGTACTCGTGGTGATTTTGAAGTCATCTGTGGACGCCTGCAGAGCAGTAAAACATTTGAAACACTGGACATGCCGGCCCCCTGCTGAAACTGAACAATAAATGGGTGCCTTTTCCCAGTCTATTTAGTGCTACATTTTTCCATTTTTGTGCTTTTCTTTGGTGATTTCTTTTGTGTGTGGGGGCATGGTGTAGGGGACTGAAACTGGGATTTGATGCATTGAGGTAAGATTTCTATCACTGAACTACAGCTCCGACCCTATTTATTTGTTTAATTTAATTTAATTTAATTTAGAGACAGGATCACACTAAGTCACTAAATTGCCTGTCTGGGCTTGAACATGAGACACTCCTGCCTCATCCTTCCGGAGTAGCTGAAATTATCGCTAGGTGCTACTTCCTCCCCCAGTCTTTGTTGAGGACTTTACAATATCAAGTGTCCCCAGGCAGAGTGAGTGTTATTATTTTAGACCTAAAGTGTCCCCCCAAACTCTCAAGTGCTCAGAAGCAGGGCTTTGGGAAGGTTGAATGGTGGTGGGGGAGGGCGTTAGCTGGCCTGCTGCAGGAGCTGGGGCCTCTTGGAGGCAGATCACTAAGGGTTGTGTTCCCTTCCTAGCCCCTCCTTGCTCTCTGCTTCCTGGTCACCATGATGTGAGCAGCTCTCCTCTGCCAGACTCTTCCACTATGCTGCTTCTACTTCAGAGGCGGCCAAATAGATTGTAACAGGAAGTCAGAATAAGCTCTCCTCCTCTGAGTCGTGAACACTGTGTATTGTATTTCAGCAACAAGAAAGTGACTAAGTGGAGCCAAAGTGCTGTCTGGTGTTTCCAGGCATGAGAAGCTCAGGACAGGCCTCACAGAAAGAGGACCTGTGTGAGGGGAGCTGTAGTCGGGCTTCCGGACATGAGTGAGTTATACACGTATTAACCCATGTGTATGTATACATAACATGTTAAACAGGATGTCACTAAACACACACAAAACAAAGTTATATATCTATTGGTTGAATAAAATGTTAAGACTCAGGAACCTGTTATAGTGGAGATATGAAATGACCCTCAGAGACCTACAGGTTAAAGGCTTGGTCATCAATCCCTGGTGCTATTAGGAGCAGATGGAGCTTTTTGAAAAGGAGGGCCTGGTGGGAGAGGCTAGGTCCTTGGGAGGGTGTCTTGGAAGGGGATGTTGAAATGCCTTTCTCTCTCTCATTTTCCTTCCCAGACATCACAAAGTGAATAGACAGCTCTGCCCTGTGCCCTCACCATGGTATACTGTGCCACCAGAGTCCCTAAGTACGGTGACCGATGGCCATGTACTGAAACTGAAAATGTGAGCCAAAATAAAACTTTTCCTTTATTAAGTTGATTATCTCATACAGTAACAGAAAGTGAACACAGAACCTAACCTGTGTTTCCCTGAGTCCTGATATTCAGAAGTGTTTATGGCAACTTTAGAGAACATTACCACCATAAGGAATGAAAATTGTCTTATTTGAGAGCCTCTTATATACCAAAACCTTTCCTAGAACCATATTTAAGTTAACCCTAATCCTCACCCATGCAAATTAAGTATCATTCCCCCAGGTGATACATTTAAGGCCTAAATAATTGGCCAATGCCAAAAAGCTAGAAAGAGGAAAGAGGTAAACAATAACAAAAGCAAGGTCACACAGTAGGTACATCTAGTGTTCCTTTTCCCTTCCTTGCCTCTTTCACTCTGTGAACTAATTCCAGCTTGGTGTCTTGTAAAGTCTAGCCATGTTCACTTCCCTCCCCCACTGGGTTTCTTTGTGCAGGCTTCAGAAAGCCCTCCCACAAATGTCCTCTCCACTGCACACCACACTGGAAGCCTCCTCACTGATGCCACGGTAATTTCCTACTACATAGTAAAGTGTTTGAATCCCCCGCCCTGCCTTGTCATCTTCCTCCCCTGCTTCTGGTAGCCATGGTGATCAAGATTTGCAGATAAAGCAAAAATGTCTTCTGTAAGAGAAAGAGAAGAAAAAAAGAGAGAGGCAAAAGACAGGGTCAGAAGTGAACCTGAAGGAGGGAGAGCAAACCCACTGAGCTTGGGAGATCTCGTTCCTGATGCTGGAGCTAAGAGAGAGCTGAGGTGAAAGTCCCTACAGAAGAGAAGGTTGCGTACCTTACATCATGGACGCTGGCATCATTCTGTGCATTTTAAAAGAGTTTGCATTTATATGATCTCATTTGCATATCATAACCACAGATTATATTCTACGTTCCATCTAATTACTCAGAAAACTGAGGCAGGAAGTACTGTGGTGACTTGTTCAAGGTCATGCAATTTTAACTTGCTTGACATTTGGGATTGGTTATTTCTATCACACAGAAAATTCAGTAATTAGTATCCTAGTATTTCAATTTGTAAACCAATGTCAGGAATAGTTCATGAGGACACTATATTCTTCACTTAATACTTGTATCTTATGACTGTTTCAATATGTTTATTCAACGGTAGTTTCTCTGAATTTCAAAGCTCAACTCAAAGCATTTGACTAAAACATAACAAAACTAGTGTTCGTGTCAAGGGGCTTGAAGTGATTGCCATGGATGGGATTGAGCCTTGTGAGCAGAGATGACAGTGCCTTTGCTGCTCCCTCTTCTGGGAATCTCCCTGGGGATATTACTAAAGTTAAAAACAGATTAGAAATGAAAAGTGGATACAAATGTAAAGGTGACCCTTTGTGAAAAGTTGAAATCATTCCAAGTTCATAATCTCCATCTTGATGCTAGATCCCCATGTTTGCATGTTCCTTGCAGATATGAGTCTCCATGAGAGGATTTTGATGATACTGTGAGTGATGTCTGCAGGGCCAGATGGCAATATTTGGTTATAAATTTAAGCACATTAAGCACATTAAGCACATTCAATGGCAGTAGCTATAGTCTGGATAGGGCAGAGAGATACAAAAGGAAGGTACTGTCTGTAGGTCAGTGAGCGGCTGAGATCCCAGTGATGTGAATCATAGCCACTTCTCCAGGCTTGGGGCTCATACACCTCATTTCCTGTGTACCTCCCACCCATGTGGGTCCTTATTGCAGGATGCTACATCGGGAGACACTTGGTAGCTCTTCCCGGGGCTTGGGGCCTGCGCTGGGCTTTGCAGTGGGCTGTATGCCTCTGACTGAGTGAAGAGCTCCTGTCACTCATCCACACGGGAGATGAGAAAATAACCAAGAGATTATTTAATGCTGAGACACACACGTGTGTGCAGATTTGTGCTTGCATCGTCAAAGTGCAGGGATTCAGAGAGGACCAGATCCTCCTGGGTACCAGGATGCTCATGGAGAAGACAGTGTGAATGCTCTAGGGTTTCTTTCATAAGTGAGGTGGTTTTGAAGTTGTTTTCTAGGAGGAAAATGGTTTTTTAATAAAGAAACTTCCTTGGCTAGTTGACAGCCCTTTTTTTCTTGGCTAAAAGTAGTTCCTTCTATTATATCCTGGAGCGTCTGGCTGTCTTGGTGGAGACATATGAGCACAACCACAGGCCTGGAATATCCCAAGAGGGCAAGAATAGCCATAATATGAGCTGACTTCTGCCACTCTGGTCCCTGCAGTTGTTAGGAATGCTTCGCCTCGGAGGCAGGCGGCTTGGAAACCAGTCAAAGCAGAGACAGAAACACTCACCTCCTGCTCCTAGGATCAAATTTTTCTTTTCACAGCTCCAACTCTTATCTCTAAGTCTTTGTAGCTAAAACAGATTCATTCCTGTAAGGATTTTCTGCCTTCTTAGAGGCCACAGACTTGTGAGTCTGTCAAGTTCCGGAGGGGGCATGGAGAACTTGGACTTGCTGGGATTCCTCATCGTCACCTTAAACTGCAATGTGACCATTGTGGGTGAGTGCTGGGAGAACCCCAAACTCCTGCTTTGCTGTTAGTTGCTTTGTTTGAATTGAGCCTCAAAGGGTCAGAACATACCATTTTCAGCTTTCCTGGTCACTTCTAAGGCCAGTGAGTTTCTAGAAGACAGGGAGCTGGGAGACCAACAGTTCCCCCGAGATCACCAAGGCTCCACTGTCCTTGAATGAAGCCTTGGGGAAAGCCTGGTCCCTTCAGGCTGCCTCCTCACTACTGAAGCCAGTGGGAACGAGATTCATGTGCACCCTTCTTGGGCTTGTTACAGGAGAAGAAACAACAAAGTCAAAGATAATGAGAAAGTGATGCCTGGATTATGCTTCCTTCTCATGTATCTTATTTTGTTTTTGTGCTTGAACCTTAATTTGTAAAGATTAGTAGTTTTTCTTGTGCTCTTATCCAAATCCCAATGGTTGTTTAGTTCATAATTTTTATTTTATTTTTTGCAATGCTGGGAATGGAATCCAGGGCTTTGTGCATGCTAAGCAAATGCTCCACCACTGAACTACACCCTCAGGATCCCCTTGCTACTAACAAGCTATATAATAAATATTTCTGACTTTGACCAAGATGAGTCAGATTTCAGAGATGTGTGGGTGCCGAGGCAAGAGGGATTGAGGATGAGACTAACACATACCTGAGATGTGGTTGATATTTTTCTTACTCATACTTTGTAGAATTTAAACAAAATCAGCCTCATACTAAAAGTTCAAGTTGGTGACATCATCATCTAATAATTGTCATTGAACTCAGTTGCCTTCATTAAAATAGGGTTCTGTTTTTCTAATGTCAGATGATGCTTTATCTTGTCACAAAATATAATATTTATAAGTTATTTTGGCTGTGTTTTAAATGTGTTCCAAAATAAGGCGACCCATGATGTGACAGTGGGGTTTGAAAGTATTTTGATTTTTTAGGTTCATTCTTTTATGTAAAATGAAAGAAAAACAAGCCTCATTATTTCATAGAATAGGGGAAATTATTGAAAAGATTGAGTGTTCTTAAAGAAGTTCAATTTCAGGGACCAGAAAAGAACATTAAACCCAAGACTTGTGGCTGAATAGGGGTCTTGTGGGCCATTGTCATAAATAAGGGATTCACTGAAATGAGCAGGTTGTCTTTTCTCTATGCAGTTACAGTAATATGCAAAAATCTTTTTTTTTTTAAAATCTTATTTCTATAAGAAGAGCAAGATCTTTTTTACATCATTGATTTGCTCTGCCAAACTTTCTCTCTGGAAATTTTAGTCCAAATGATATAAACAAATGTCTAAACTAGTGGAGTCAACTGAAAACATTTTTAGTATATAATGTTCTTATTTTTATTAGTACCCGATTGTAGCACAGAGCACTCTCATTTTATTGTAGGGAGTTGGTATAATGTTCTTCAAAAGTCTGCCATCTGGAAGCATCTTACAAATAAGTTCACTGCAGTGTCTGGAACATTCTAAATACTCAATAAATAAATAGCAAATAAACAAGGCAGCTGATGCTGTTGCTGTGACTAAATACATTCCTGCTTACATCTCTGGTCTCCAGTCTCCACCCAGGAAATATTTAAAAACTATTGTTCAGATAAGATCTGCAGTTAGCTTTATTTCCAAGTCTGGGATTGTGCAACACTTAGCCATGAAATGGAGCGATTGTCCCCAGGTGATGTGTTGATGAGGTGGTGACCAGGCCACTCCTGTTTGCTGTTTTTCAGGAAAGATCTGGCTGCTCTTCACGGTGCTGCTGAGGATGGGCGTGGTCATCCTGGCCGGGTACCCGATCTACCAGGATGAGCAGGAGCGCTTCGTCTGTAATACCCTGCAGCCAGGCTGTGCCAATGTTTGCTACGACATCTTCTCCCCTGTGTCCCAGCTGCGCTTCTGGCTGGTCCAGGGGGTGTCTGTGCTCCTCCCTTATGCCATGTTTAGTGTCTACGTCCTCCACAAAAGCACCCAGCTTGCTACCTGGGAAGGCTGCCAGTCAGAGAGAGGTGTCCTGAGGGTACCAGACTTCTCCTGTGGCTACCTCTTCCAGCTGTGTTTCCGGACCCTGACAGAGGCTGCATTTGGGGCCTGGCATTACTTCCTCTTTGGGTTCTTGGTCCCTAAGAGTTTCTCTTGCACGCACCCTCCCTGCTCCAGTGTGGTGGACTGCTACATCTCTCGGCCCACGGAGAAGTCCATCATGGTGCTTTTCACCTGGACCATGAGTGTGCTCTCCTTCCTCCTCAGTGTCGCGGATCTGGTTTGCAGTGTGCAGGGAAGGATTAGCAGGAGGCAAGGCCCGGGGCAGCGGGTGAGCAGCTCCTGTGTTGGCAAGGAGTATGGAGTCAGAGCATCTCCTCCAGGCAGTGCTAAGGGAAACCAGCCCAGCAAGGTAGATGAGGATGGCAGGTGGGAGGAAGAGGTGCTGCCTTCTCTTCCTGATGAGTGGGCTGGGGGGCAGAGTATCAACAACCTCAGCGGTCAGCCTCCTGCACTGGGCCGGGTGGCGCTGCTGGAGGAAAATGGGAGTGAAGGATTGACCTCAACCAGTGACAAGGCACCTGTGGCCCACAGAGAGCCTGGAGGCAGATGCCCCAGAGAGGCTACCCAGGACCCCAAGAGCAGGGGCCTCGCCCATTCAGAGGTGTGTTCCTTGGCCTCTCAGAGCCACCTGGCTGGCCACTATTCATCTGGCCTGCTACAGTCTCCTCAGCAGCTGGTCCCCTCTGGCAGCGTCCCTCACCTGAGAACCAAAAAGTCTGAGTGGGTGTGAAGAGCACACACCATGCGGTGCCCGGCGAACCCAGTTCTGCAGCAGGGTGCTGCCCTGGACAAATACCCAGATAAACACTATCTGCCACTCCACAAATTTCTTGGTAGCAGGTGAGCTACCATTATAGGCTTCCTGGAAGACCAGATTCAGATTTAATTTAGATAACACTGTCTTTTGAAAATACACTTGACCTTTAATGCCTGTTAGCTAATGTAACTAACGGGAGAGTGCAGAGCTGTTGGTCCTCATGAAATTGTTATAGGTGTTAAGCTCTCGCTGGACCTATTGTCTTGTTCTTTGCCTTGTGCCTAATGTAAAGCATGCTGTCTTGCATGAATAGAGCTCAGTACACTTTGATTTTTCTGGTAAACTATTAGGATTTGGCTTTGTGTTTGATTCTGATTGATGAGAGGCATTGCATATGTGTGTCGTCAGCAGAGACATTAGTTTACCTCTTTAACAAAATGAACAGTGAGCACGTTGCCGTGACATGCTTCCTGCTTCACAGTGTGCAGGACAAAGTGGACATGCAAAGGACAGAGCTCAGAGACAACTGGCTGGGGATGTCATGTTGTTATTGTATAGGTTGGGTACATAGGGTGTAGGGAGTGTCCAGGGCTCTTTGGGCCACCATGTGTAGCTGAGTGGGTGTCCTCCTCCCGTGAAAGCAGGACTTCTACTGTTGACAGGTAGCTGAGGGTTTGTCACAAGGTTTCCAGACCAGGTTTGTCCAAGGCAGTGCAGTTGTGATTGGCCTGAAAGACTTACTCTAGTGCAGAGGAGGAGAAAGACTTTGAGGGCTGTGTCCAAGCTTTCTGTGTGCATACTAGAAATGAAAAACCATTCTGGGTCTTGGGAAAGGCTTGACATAATGGTCTCCCTGCTTTTTTAGGTGTCACTAGTTCTGATTTGGGTGATCTCCCAGTTAAAATATGACTCCACTCTGTGTTGGAGCTTTTTTTCGGATTGAATTTGAGCAGACAGGAGGACATACCTAGTACAGGGCAGGGTAAACTGACTCACCTTGGCAAGGAGAGGAAGATGAGCCACCTGGATACAGTTCTAGACTTGGGCACTGTTTTCTGGGCCCCAAGTATGGAATAGCTGAGAAACAGGATCCCCTCTCCACTATAGTAAATAATGTAAAAGGTGAGCCAATGCACTTGTGAAATAAATGGATTTTTGAACTGTTTTAAAGAGATGTTGGCAATAAAATATCTTGCAGGATAATGAATAGCAGCCTGCAAGATGTATCTATAGGCTGTCAAAGCAACTGGTTAAATTTTAGAAAAGTCATATAGCTGGATTTACACCTGTTTACACCTGTGATGCTTTCATTCTGGGAGGCTGAGGTAGGAGGATCACAAGTTTGAGCCCAAGAATTTAGCAATTTAGTGACAGCCTATCTCAGGATGAAAGAGAGAGAGGGGAAAAGGGGAGAGAGAGAAAGAAAGAAAGAGACTGACAGAGACAGAGATCAACAGAGACAGAGAGACAGCCAGAGAGAGACAGAGATCGACAGAGACAGGGAGACAGAGATCAATAGAGACAGAGAGACAGAGATCGACAGAGAGACAGACAGAGATGGAGACAGAAAGACACAGAGAGACATGGGATATAGTTTAGTGAGAAGGCTCAGGGTTCAGTTCTCAGTACTAAAAAAGAAACTGCCCCAAACTGGTTTTGGCATAAGACAATTTGAATTAATATGCCTATTTTCACGTATTCTCTCTTTTTCTCTGAAACTCTTTCATTTTTGCTCCTGAAGCCACTTAAATTTGTAATCTATGCCCCCAATCTCAGTGTTCTATATTAATGCCTGGCACAGCAGCTGCTCAATAAATGTGATTTTTGAGTCTGATATCCCTAAAGTATCAGAAGCAAAGGTAGATGTCCTGTGAAGCATGTAATTCTTGTGGCTTTCTGAGGTTGGGCATGGGCTGACTGTTGTAAGTACCTCAGTGTGAGTCCAGAAAACGCCCTGTGAGGAATGGAATTTAAGTCAATCAGTGAACAAAATACCGTGCAGGGCTGGGAAAGGGTCAGGGAGTACTGAGGTTCTCTCCTGACACAGCACTGGTGAGCTGGGTTCCTTCTCCCACAGGAGTCCATGCTCAACTCTGGCTTTGCAGATGAGTCTATTGGGTGGTCCTGGGAATGATGCTTTACCACTTTAATGTGGTCGCACATCTTAGCAGGAGAGAACTAGTCTTGTAGTTTGCTGCATGGAAAACTGTACAGGGTTGGGTGAGGAGATCTGGACTTTTATCTGATGTCTGTAATTGCCTGGCAGCTCACTTCACTCTGCTGGGCCTCAGTTTCCTTCTCTGTGTGACTCTATGTTTCCATAATGGTCCATAAACTTTAGGACTCTGATAATGAGATGTAGGGTTATTTGTTATTTTAACTTAAATAAAGATTAATTTAGTAGCCTTAATTAAAATCTTTAATTAATTAAAAGCTTAAATAAGGAAGTGCTAAGCTATATCCCCAGACCTTTCTAAATTTTATTTTGACACAGTGTCTCTCTAAGTTGACCAGACTGGTTTCAAACTTGCAATCCTCATGTCTCAGGCACCTAAGTACCAAGCATGAGTTTTAATAAGATTAAATGGGAAGAACACCAATGGCCTGTATCATGGTCCATTTCCTGTTGCTGAAACAAAATACTGGAAACTGGGTGACTCATAAAGAAAACAAATGTTATTTCTTACAGTCCTAGAATCTGAGTAGTCCAAGATCGAAGCTCCGCGTCTGGTGAGCTAGTGTTTGCTGTATCACAACCCGGCAGAGGGCACTGCACGGTGAGACAGAACAAGGGAGAGGACATAGGTCCCTCTTCCTCTTCCTATGAAGTGTGAGGGTCACCATGAAGCCCCACCCTCACTACATTGTTTAATCCTCATTACTCTTATTTTTAGTCTATGAATCTGGGGTTGTTTCCAATAGTGAATTTTTGGGGGACACATTCCAACCCTAGCAGCCTGTGTGTCCTTAGAAGAGCTCCGGAAAGGAGAGATGGGGACCTCCTGGAGAATGAGTGGGGTGGCAGGAGGCAATTGCACACCCTCCTGTGTGACAGCAAAGGGCTGGATGGGCAGACATGGGGCCCACTGGTGTGGCCCTAAGCTGTGTGGAGAGGAGCGTTGGACCCGCAGGCAGTGTGGTGTCTGTCACTGTGTTGGGATGGGCATCTCTCTTTCTCGTCCTTTTGTTGTCACACAATGCACTGCAAATCGCTGGTTATATAACTTAGGCTTTCAAGCCCCGATGATCTATTTCTAGTCAGTTAAGAGAAAAGGGGAGAAATTTTAGACTGTATCCGAGAGGACAAAAGAAAAGCAGACAATCATGCAGCTCTTATTTTCAAGATTTCAAACTTCTTCAATGTTAGAAACATAAAAGATGGTTCAGAAGTCTGTGCTCCTCCCCCACAGTTGCCAAGCACCCTGTGGTCTGGGGCAGGACAGTGCAAGTCTAGGTCCTTGTTACTGATCTAACAGGTACACTCCAGTGTTAGCCACCAGCACAGAAGTTTTGCACAATACAAAGCTGGAGTTTCTGACTGGAGAGTAGCTCTGCTACTAGAAGTGACTCAGGGACCCTCCAGCTCTTGTACCCAGAGGGGCCCCATAAACAAGGACCAAAGAGGGCGGCACATATAGCCATGCATGTTTTCTGCCTGGATCTCTATTTCAGCCACAAAAGAGGCTGAAAAAGGTGGCCTGGCAGGAGGGAAAATTCGAATGAACATTTAGCTAGTGTTTGTCTCCGGCAGAACTTTTTCAGGGTACCTGCCCACTAAGAAACATTCAACAAATTCTGGGGCCCAGCTAACGGGTTTCCCAGGCAGTGCTAAGCATGGTCCTTGGGTGGGATATCTGAGCTGAGAAAATTTCTGTTTGACTTTTTTCAAGTTTACAGTAAGCACGTCTAGTGGCATTTTCTCTGGCATCAGAAGAGACAAGGTGAATAGAACAGATTGAATTGGGGCTAGTTCCCAAATTGCTTATACTTTGGGACTTTTGTCTTAATTCGTCATATTCACTAAAAAAGGACTTCAGTTTAAGTGTGCGTGTGTGGGTGTGTATGCACGCTCATACGTGCTTTAGTTTAGCTGTTTGGTTTCTGCAGAGGTCAAAGACTCATGAGAGATTATTTACCTCTCTGGGGACTTCAGCTCACAAGTCTCTTTCCAGTCCAGTGTGCAGGTGGTTCCAAGGTGTCTGGCCATGATAGAACCCACTGGTAGGATCCAGACTCGGAGCCAGCACGCATGGCTGGTTACCTGCAGAGACAAAAGGGAAGGAGATTAGGAGGCTCAGTGGGATTATGTGAGTAGAGCAGTTTGTGCTTAGCCAAGAAAGGTAATGTTTATGGAATTAATAAATGCAGCCGCCAGCCCTTTAGTAAGGTGTTGCAAACTACTGTGAGATCTACTTTCAAATTTTGGGGGTGTAAAATTTAGTTTCAGGCAAGAAATGAGGAGAGTGATGCTTTCACACTGGCAGTGGGGCGTCCGCACTTTGGGACACAGGCTTGCTGAGGTTCTGTTCTGAGAATGCCTCCTACCTGCCACTTCCTTCCAACACCTGGGAGGGGTTAGCAGCAGAATCTGATAAACCCTGCCAGCTGTGTTTTGGTTGGATTGTGGGATAAATGTTTCTTAGAAAGGAAGTGGATGCTCCACCCTGAATTTGAAGTGTGTGTGTGTGTGTGTGTGTGTGTGTGTGTGTCCTCTCTCTTGTCAATTACACAGCAATCCTTTCCTTGGAGAACTTTCAATCTGAGGGCCATCTCTGCCCTCTGCTTTAGAGACACAGTTGAAGAGGCACATGACAGAGCCATAAGGACTCTAGAACTAAATCAACTCCTAAGCTGAACCCAGATAAAATGTGTGTCATGGGGAACCTGGGAAATCAAAAGTGAGTAGGAGCTGCGGGTGTTGGTCAGTGGCACAGTGTCTGCCTAGTGCGTATGAGGTTCTGTGTTTGATCCCTAGCACTGAACGAAGAAAGCCCAAATTTAGTAAAAAAAGGTTTTCTCTTTCCCTGGGTGGAAGGAACAGAGAGGCAAGTGACAGAGTGTGCCCCTCAGCATGACACAATCGGCCATTGTCTTCCCCAGCTGTCCTAAGGATGAGAGGTTCCCACACATTCTGGCCTGTCTCTGGGCCGGTTCTTCTCCCTTCAGCCTCTCTAGCAGGAGCTTTTTGTCCTCCACATGGCCCTGTGTGTGTCTACCAACAGGCTGGAAAAAAAAGATTTCATATCCCTGGAACTAAATTGATAATGTAGTACTTTTTTTTGGCGCATTGAACCTGATCCTAAACTTGATATTTTGCTTCTATGTCTTTCTATGAAGCTAAAAAGAAAAAAATCAACTTGTCTCCTGAGCAGCCAGTAAAGTGAGATGGAGGAGATCTGGCAGTGTCACTCAGAGCTCCTGCTCTGTGAACCTCCACCCGCTCAGGGCTGATGGAGTGGGGAGCACCTATGTTACTTTGGGGACTGTCGGGGACCCCAGGACAGGATACACTGGGTGGCACTAGATGGTGGTTCTTGGGCTGTGAAATCCTAGATGCCTGATCATCACTGCCATTGAGTGAGTCCTCTAGAAATTGGTAATGACACATTTTCTACGGGGAAAAGGGCCAAAGACTTTAGAAACAACCTAACCCTTCGCCTGCTTCCAAACTCACCAGCAGAGGCCTCTCTTGGACCACATTTATGATACATTATTTCTAAGCACCACAGTAAAATTCAGATGTATTTTTATAGGGTTCTGTCTTGATCATATTTACATGCTATTTTTTTTTTTGTTCTACTCTTTTGTGTCTTACTTCTGTGCAGAAAAAGCAGGATTTAAGGATTCGCCATAGTAGATCTGAGAATTCTGTTAACTTACTTTGGATAACAGAGTAAATGAGAAATGAAGGGATAATACAACATTGTGAACAATGTTTTCTCAAGGGCAGGAGATGATTTCACAAGACAATAATTCATCCTCTGAGGGAGGATAGAGTTTCCATAATAACATTTTTTATTCATTTTCTTTATTTCAGCCTACAAACATGGATTGTCCCTTTCTCTGGTTTTTCACATGCTCAGGCTGCAGACTGTGGAAGTTTGTCTTGCGATGAGGAT